TAATTTTAAATTCTTTTCCTTAGTGTAATATTCTCACACTTTAAACTTCCCCCCTTTTGCCCACGGCTCACCTTTTCCACCAGCCTCGTCACCTTGTCAATTTTACATTTGGAGCACGTGTCGCAGCCCGTGTTCAGATGCTGCTGCTGCTTTAGCTGCTGGCAATGGGAATTTCTTCCTCAACTCTAATTAAAGAGCTCTTCACACAGCCTCCTTGAACCAGCCGCATCAACAAAATGAGTAACTGCAATAAAGAAACTTTGAACCCTTTGAAAGAATCAACTTTTGATTTAGTTGGATTTAAAAGAGATTCAGATAAAGATCTACTATATAATATGATCTCCAATATCATATGACGAATTAATTTGACTTAAACTCCAGCAAATAAAAATGTTTGTTTTGGTATATTACCAACAAAGAAATGCACAATAAAACAGAGTTTCTTTCTAGCTTTCTCTGTTGCCACACGTGCCGAATTGTGGACATCAGCATAAAATAGAATCCGAATAAAACAGAGCAACCAGAATAAATATAAATTTGGTAAATAAGAAGCTTGCAGCTCGAGAGCAAGCCCAGAAAAAGGCAAACGCGACAAATGCAAAGCAAAAGAAATGTACAATATAAAATAAATAACATTGAAAAACAAGTGCAAAAACACCAAAAATCGAAACAAAGCCGTGTGTGCTGAAACTTAGACAAATATGAATTTAAGCAAATATAAGGAGAATAAATATTTGTTAAATGCCAAATGGAAACTTTTGTTGGCTCAAATTTTGAAAAGCGTGTCGGGATGAAAAGTAAAAATATATATTAATAAATATAACTTCTTTATCATAACTAAAAGCCATTACAAAAGTATAAAACTATTTCATTATTTTTTTTATAGATACTTGTTTTGATTATTATCTTAAGCTAGATATTAAAAACATCATTTACAAAGCTAAATGCTTCTAAATTATTGCACTCGTCTCTTCCTTTCACATACTATAAATAAATACATAACTAATATAAAAAAAAATCGTTCAATGTTTTCCGCAAACAAATCCAAGGCAAGGGCCCTGGCAAACAAACAATCAACAACAGAAAATAGAAATACAAGAAAACCACACAGAAAAAATACAATCAAATTCGCATGAAGTTTTTGGCCAAACACCTTCGTTTTTTGGGTTCCCGACTTTGGCTGTATTTTTGGCTTTTTGTGGCGTGGCAAAAACCTAGGGAACTTTGGCGGGGGCCTGCGGGAGGCACCACACACACTGAAATTTATGGCGTCACGTTGGCAACTACTGGTTTTAATTTTTATTTTTAGAGCCGCCTTATGCCGCGCTCTAACAATTCACGGCTTCGTCGCGGACTTTATAATTGGTTTTTTAAAATTCACTTTTTCTGCCTGCTCTCTTCCTACCTACGAATTAATAATAGTAGTTGATTCAGCTCAGGTAAAAGTCAAAATGCGAAATAAACCCCATTCGCGGATGAGATTCGCCATAAAATCGCTGGGGGATCAAATCAGGTTGCCGGGTGGTCGTCAAGTGTCACCAGTTTTCCTCTATTCATCATTGTTTCTGTCATTTTTCTTCGCTTTTTTTTTTTTTGTTTCTAATTGTTTGCAACATTAACGAAAAGCAAACATGGACAAAAAGAAAATGGCAAGTATCAAGTTTTTAAACAGTCAGCAATTAAAGTACCTCTTTGGCAATGGTTTCTGCTGTTGGCCAGGCCAGGCCATTATGTGCATAAAATTATCAACAACATTAGGGGGACCAACCGCACAACTAAACAACAAACACTAAATGTACAATTGTCATGCATAATTACGGCTCGGAAAAATCCAAGGAAAATCTCAAGTGTTGACAAAGAGTTAACGGCAAAACCGCCCAAGGGTTTCCAAGGCAGAGGCAGGCAGGGCAGGTTCAGGGGGCGAATCTCAAATTGGCTTGCCAACTTCTCGCGCGCGATTTTAGCTTCATTTTATAGAGTCGAGATGGAAGAACGTTGGATATAGGAAATGGGCAACACAAAAAAAAAAAAAGAAACATAACTCCAAATGATGTCATTGGCAAGGGCTGTTAACTTCATTATACCCTTGCAGGGTATTATAATTTCAGTCAGAAGTTTGCAACGCAGTGAAGGAGACGTTTCCGACCCTATAAAGTATATATATTCTTGATCAGCATCAACAGCCGAGTCGATCTAGCCATGTCCGTCTGTCCGTCTGTCCGTCTGTCCGTCTGTCTGTCTGTCTGTCTGTCTGTTTCTACGCAAACTAGTCCCTCAGTTTTAAAGCTATCTGAATGAAACTTTGCATATAGTCTTCTATATGCTCTCACTGCTATATATGTCGGAACGGGCCGGATCGGACGACTATATCATATAGCTGCCATACAAATGTTCGATAAATTTTTAGAAAAAAAATTAAAACTTAGCTGTTTTTCAACATATGTGCACTATTTTTTACATATGACCATTTTATATTATTTCTGAATTTTGGTAAAAATTTTATGAAAATCGGACGACTATATCATATAGCTGCCATAGGAACGATCAGGAAATTAATAGAAAAAAAATTATAACTTCGTTGTTTTTCAAACTATTTTTATCTACTCTAAAATATAAGCTTATTTTATTAATTCAGAATTTTGGTATAAATTTTATGAAAATCGGACAACTATATCATATAGCTGCCATATAAACCGATCGGTAGGTGTAGGGAAAATGTAAAACTGGGAATGTAAAACTGTAACTGTCAAACTCTCAACATAATAAGTATAGATAAAATGCAATGAAATAATATCTGCAAGGGTATACAAACTTCGGCGTGCCGAAGTTAGCTTCCTTTCTTGTTTTCCTTTGAAGCGTTTTGTTATTTTGTTCTGCTTTAGATTTTTACACAAATTTCATAGATTAGAACAAAAAAATGTTGAGCTGTTAGATGGGATAAGAAAAATTGAGCAAATTATATTAAATATTATTCGTATAACTTGTTTTTTTAAGTCATTCGACTTAGCATTTTGCCTCCTTTTTTTCTAAATGATATTTGTAAATATATAAATTTAGTTAACGTGGGTTATAAATACTCAATATCCTAACCATGTTATAGTTACAATATTTCTAGAATTTGTTTAAATATTTATTGCATAAATAAAACCCTGGAAAAACATTTTCCAAAACTATAAATATTTTTAAAAATAACTTGGTAATGGGAATATAGATAAATATTTAAAATTTTAAAGATTTTGAATTCATAGATACAAAATTTCTTGGAAAGGTCTATTCAGAAAGAAACTGCCGGTATTTTAGGATATAATCCAAGATATCCAATCAGAATATTCCATTTTGTGTAAGGTATTATAATCATAAATTATTGTATTTAGTTTTAGTCATTTGACTTTTCTATTTAGTTACTCTAAAATTGTTAATAAATTATTATTTAATTTTAGAAAACTTAAATTTTTAATTTTTATTGACCCAAGCGAGAAACATTCATGCAAACTGCTAAATAGTTGCATAAATAGATAACAATCCCAACTTTAATTTATGTATCTTATGATTATGATTGCGATTAAAAAAACAACAAAGAGAAATGAGGCGGATCAAGACTAGTCGTATTTAGACAAGTTTTGGCAATAAAATGCATTCTTTTTTTATGAGCGCAAAAAATCCAAAACACAAAAAGTAGCTAAATAGCCGACGCGTATATATACGCATCTATATCTATGTATATAGGGAGGTATCGGTGTACGAATCGCTCTCTAGCTATCTCAACGGCTAGAGCTGCTATTGAAATTGAAGGCGACATCGTCGTCGCAAAGCTTTTCCAACTTTTTCTGTTTATTTTTGTGTTTTGTGTGAGCTTAATTCGGTTTTTTTGCGCTACAAAGCTACAACAGAGGAACTGAACTCTCTGCTCCACTCTTCCCCTTCTACTCCCTTGGCCACTCTTCGCTCTGCTCTTTCTACGCTCATCGCTTGGCGCTCTTCATTGCGGCGAGGCCCCAAAGAAAAAAGAAACACAACATGTGTTTCGTCATCAAAACGCTGTGTTTTGTTGCATTTTCCTTTGCGTTTTCCCGTTGTCTTTTTAGAAATGAAAAAAAGTTATCATATGATAATATATTTCTATAGATTTTTAGCATTGGAAAATGGGTTTTAGTTTGCAATTACATTTATCTTTAAAGAAAACTTTTTATATACAAAATGTATCTTAAGTTTAATTGGTTTAAATTTTATATTTGGATATTTTCAAAATGTAAGCCAAAAGAAAAATCTATTTGTGTTAATTTTTATTTTTTTAATTGTTTTAGTTAGTTTTCTCTTACATCGCTATATCGTTATTTGTTTCAGCTAATAGAGACTCGAACTAGTTTGAACTTTTATTATTAAAAAAGATTAAAAAACGCTAGAGCTGAGCTTTCCAATTTATTTCAGAAACGCTTAAAAGCACTAATGTTTAAATATTAAAAAAATTGGAAAAATAGGATCGCATTTGTTTTTGTTTTCAAAAACAGCCGCCATTAAATATTTGCAAAGACGGCGCTAAGAGCAATTTACTTTGCTCTTTGTGTTTGCTTTTGTTTTTGTTTTACGAAGCGAAAATGAAAATGCCGGCACTTGGTGAGGTGAGCAGAGAAAAATAACTGCAAAGCAGTGATGTCATATTTTTGAGCAGAAAAAGCTGGATCTCAAAAAGCTATCAAATCTACACAAAAATTACCGAATTCAGGGGAAAAAAGTTAGGAATAAACCGATTTTTTTTAAATAAAATAAAGTGTCTTGATAGTTTTACATTAATAGAGACATACCAAATATTTTTGAAACGCTACATCTGTCCACTCTTTTCAAAATTTCCCCGCACACTTAAACAAAAAGCGGAATTTGACGGTAAAATAGCGGTATTGACATCACAGCGGGCCAAGAGCGAGTTAAGAGAGCGCAAGAGAGCCAACGGTGGAGCACGTCACACAGCTGGTGGATATCCGTATCTGTGAGATGCGTATCCGTCAGTTCGAGTTTGAATTTCGTTTGGTGAGGTTGCCTCTGAGCGGTGCAGCTACATCGCTATATCCACTGTGTCGACGTGTCTCCCTCTCTCACTCTCTCTTCTATCTCTCTCGTTGCCCCCCGTTCGCCGCGCGTGTCGTGCCCGACTTTATTTACCTTTCGGCAGGAATTAAAGCCCACTGAGATCGACTGAAAGTCACTAAAGTGCCGAAAAAGAAACGCAGAAAGCAGCACTTGGCCAAAAAGAAAAAATAAATACAAAAAGTTGGCGCTGCCCAAAAAAAAAATAATAATAAGAAAGAAAAAAGCAAAGCAAAGTGCGCGTGTGTGTTTATGTGTGCGTGCGGGCGTGAGTGTGTGTCTGAGTGCGTGTTGTTTTTTCCTCCGCCAAAATGAATCTTTCAGATATGCAAGATATGCACGACAATTAACGCAGAAAACTATAGAAACTTAAACCGAATAATTGGTAGTTTAGGTTTGTTAACAATTTCGGAAGATTAAACGAAATTTTTCTCCGTTTCGTTGCGGAATTTTTGTGTGGCTGTTTCACTGCCAAACGTTCCGGCTGGCGCTCTCTTTCCCCTCTCTCTTATTGCCATCGCTTCGGCGGATCTCTCTCTCTCTGTCGTGTATCGCTCGGGTTTCGTAATTCAATTGTCGGCTCGTTTCGCCATTCGGTCCGTTCCGCCAACGTATCTTTATTTATATTTTGTTTCGTTTCCACTTCGGTCCCCTAATTGCCCACTTTTTTGGAAAATTCAAAATACAAAATTCGAAATTCCCTTTGCTAATGCCTGTCTTCATTATTCTCGCCCAAGCAGTTTCTCTGACAAAATACTATATGATTTCCCCAGATTACACTCATAGTATATATATTTTGTGCAAAATAAAATACAAATAAAAACCATAAATAAATTCAAGCTAGCCTTGGCAAAATCATTGAAAAAATATATATTTAAAAAGTGTACAAAAAGATTACAAAAATAAAAATAAAAACAAAATCGACATAAATATAAATATATTTATATACACAACGGTTTCACTTTGCGAGTTGTATACAAAAAGTTAAAGCAAAAATAATATAAATAAATATAAAACAAAAGCGATTTACAGTTATTCACAGTGTGTTTGAAAAATACACAACAAAAAAGTGCAAATCAATGTGCAAAATCAAATGATTCAAATATTTAATAATTATCACTTATAATGCCGCCTAACAAACTAAGAAAACTTGGATTAACGCATTTAATATAGATTTTATAATCTATGGGATTATTACTTGAAGTCTACGAAGAAAAAGGTTGACCACCTTTTGACGTAATTAATTAACTGAAAGGTAAGGAGCGATACTAAATTTAAGTAAACAACTTATGGATTAAGAATTAGGGCTCTAAACAAATACAAATTCTATAAAACTAGCTGTTGAGTTATGATTACAGCTTAAAATTTACTTCAGGGTGTATAAACATTATTTAATCGTTGAATACATTTTAGTTTTATGCTATTTAAAAATATTTTATGATATTACAAATTCATGTTTGTACAAAATATATCATTTTGGAATACCTAAACAAATTTAAAGCTTGTTTGCACGAGTTATTTAGCATCAGAGAAAATAATGAAGGAAAATTGCATGGTCTCAAAAAATATTCATTCCTTTTTTAAGTCTTTTTTATCACTTAATATTTACCCAACGAATATTTGCTAAATTAAAGAAAGAATAGTTGGTTTAGAGTTAATCTGAGCTTGAATCTTTAATGAGACCTTTGTACATTTTTAATATTTGCTGGCATTTCAATCTAAATATTCCTAAATAAACCATTTATTTCTTAAATTTTTACCATTATATGGAAATTTGAAATACAATCGGTTAATTGATTACCCTTGTTTGCCGATAATTTCATAATTTCCGACGTATCGCTCGTGACTCAGCCACTAGGTTTATAGCTTCGGATGACCAATCCATTGTCCCTTTGAAATAACCAACATTTCGTCAAGAGAGTTATCGCCAGCGGAGGGGAAGTAATGATCGTAGAGCATATGAACATACTCTATATGTATGTAGAAGTGCAGGCCGAGGAGGTCGTCGTCGTCGTTGGTTACATAATAAAACGTGAGTCGAGGCAGCAGCGCGCTGCTGACTGCCTGCTGCTGCTCGGTTCAGTTAGAATTCTTTTGCTAATACGCGAGCAAACACTGTAAACGGCCGACTGGCTCGGTGTTTGTCGTTCTCGGGTGGCGGCGGCGGTGCGATCTCTCGGCGGCAAACAAACACCAAGTCGCAGTCACAAACCTCCAAACCGAAAACCCAAAACCCAGGCGGGGTATATATCAGCAAGAAACTGAGAAAATCTACTGGCGAAGGTTCGTTCGCTCTTCGATCGCTGCCGCCTATCTATCCAAGTATCTCACAGATACTTTGGGCGTGTATGTGTGTGTGTGTTTTATCAGCGCTAAAAGCGTCGAGTTTTGCATATGATATTGAAATATTTATTTTGAGAACATTTTATTTATACCTTCAATGAAAATTCTCAGCTATTTATACTATCCGCCACCTCTCTTACACGCGAGAGAAGAGCAAGAGAGCTCTTAGAAGATTTTGCGACGTATTTTGGTTAGATTTAATTAGTTTATTGTTGCTAGACTTGGTAAGCATTTGTTGTTTTTTCTTCTTATTTTTTTTTTTTCGCTGGTCAGCTATTTGAGTTTTTTTTCGGACAGGTTAAACCAGTTTTCCTGTTTGGCAGTTCTACACAAAAATTACAAAACGACAAAAAAATATAGCTGCGAGAACACCTCAAACATGCCATATTATTATATAGTTTTTTGTTTCGTTCGTTCTCTTCTTAGTTTCTGTTTTTTTTTTTCGGCTCTCAACTTTATCGTCGCCGCTCATAATTTAATAAAAGTATGAGGAAGAAACTAACAAAACGCTGCGCTTAGGCTTATCGCCAATGCCCATGCCCCAACACACACACACACAAGCGAGAGTCGGCGATTAGATAATAGCATTTTAAACGATGTCTCTACTGTACAGTAGAGTCGCGAAACACACACGAGAAGTGACCAACCCACAATGGAAATGGACTTTGTTTTGAAAAACTGAAAACGGCTGATAAGACACAGTCGTCGACAGCGAGAGAAAGAGAGAGCTCTCGGAGAATTGGTTTAGGGAGAATATAAATAAATTTAACAATTTGAATGCTTGCTCGGAGGGGGAATCAAATTTTTACTCAACACGGCCTCCAAATGCAATCTAAATAGCTCTAGTTTAGATTAAAATAAATGTCCAGAAATTCATTTAACGATCCTTGAAAATAGGTCTTGATATTGTTAAAATGTTCAATGAATTTTTGTGTGTATATTGTTTAATTATAAATTTAAATCGATTTTTAATGGAATCTTATTTGAGTTGTAATCATTTTTTGCCTGAAGGCAATTAGAAATCTAATCAAAAATAATTTTACTACATTAATACAATCATTTTAATATTTTTGGAGTTGGTTTTGTTTTGTTTAATAGTGAATAAATAATTAATTAATATAATTCAATTTAAAAGGTTTCTTTAAAACAGTTATATAAAATATTTAAATAAAAATGAGTTATTAATTCCTTCTTCAACTCATTAAAAATCCCTTCAAATATCAAGTAAATGATTGAACCTGTAAATTCTCAAGCTCCAATGTCTGTAGCGCGTTTACAGTGTCATTTTTTCGTGTTTACACGAATGTATCTATAAAATATAAATATAAATTACAGATACGGGAACTGCATATATGCCATAAAAAGAGGAATTCTCTCTGAAGCTGTTGTTGTTGTTGCTGATATATTCGCTTGACCTTAGCGTCAATGTCCTCGAAAACCTTGAGCTTTGTCTCCCACTTAGTTCTCGGCCAGTTCTCCACCGATTCTCCCTTTCTCTGGCGGAAAAACTCTCCAGTCGCACGTTTCGCGGCTTACATTCGTTTTTCTCGCGCGCCAAAGTCTCTGTGAAGCGTAAATGAATTTGTCCCTTTGAAGTTTTCCATGTTAATTGGGAAATTAAGCTTGACCAGCTCTCGCGCGAGTTGAGATCCCCATTCACTTTGTCTGAAATCGTCGTTGGAGTGGTATATAAGACATTTCTGTTCCCTTTTTTTTTGTATTTTTTGTGTATGTGGTGCACATGATTCTTGCTGAACGTTTATAATTACGTTAACTTCAATTACTGCTTACGTACAATATCAGACCAATTTTTGTTGGTTTCCAGGTAAAACAGGTTTCTGTACGCCTCATTTTGTTTTATTTTTTCTTTATTTTTTGTATTTCTCTCAGGGTTTTTTTTTGTTGTTGTTGCTTGATGTACTTAATGCCGCTGCACGAGTTTTGCTATAATTTTAATTTCTTTTTGAAGTTCTGCGCAAGTGTGTTGAAGGTCTCTCTTAACTGCTATTTAAATAGTAGTTAAAAAATTGTTGCCAGCATCTTGAAATTCTTCAGAATCAAACTCATTACAGGTGGTTACGGTTGGCTATGTGACGGGAGATTCTATCACATTTTGAGGGTTTGAGATAATTGTAGGTCTTTATAGTTAGTTCCTTAAGAGTAAACACACTTTAATTATTTTTACATTTATTTATGATTGATTTCTCCTACATTTATGCTTGTATCTTAATCAAAAACTAATCTTAGCCAGCTTTGGGCTCTTCTATCTTTTCGAATTCCCAATAGTCCTCCCCACAATCGTATCCTGCATAATCGAGGCTCAAATAGTGCTCCACATAGAAGTTTCGATTGACATTGCTGGGACATTTGATTCCCCATTTCCTCAACGCATATAAATCCACATGGTTGTTGTTGATTCTTCTCTTCTGATTCCTCAGCGTTTGCGCTTTTTTGTGTGCTTTATTTTGGTTTTTGATTTGTTGTTTGTTGTGCGGTGTTGTTTTGCGGACTGGGGAGCTGCTCCTCTTGGGGCGTTTGCCGCATTTGAATTTCATTTTTAGATTCCAATTTATTTTCGGCGTAGTTTATGCCAATTTGGTTTTTTGGGTGCGATTTCTTTAATATTATGTATGCCATATATTGTTGCCCCCGCCTGTGTGTGTGTTCGCTTGCCTTCGTGTCTGCGTATCTGAGCGAGTGTGTGCCGTGCTTCTTCAAACGAATTTGATTTGATACTCATTTTTCTGTGCACCTCTGCTGGCCTGTGTATTTGTTGTATAATAGGTAACAAAAAAATAAATAAAAAATTGCAAGAGCTTGCGAAATTTTTTGAGCCGTACTGTACCCGTGATTATGGTCGTCGCCAACGTCGCCTCTATCTCTTTTTTACCGCCAGCTTCTAGCTCAGTGATCCCGTGATGTATCTCTTGGTTACTCATTGACAAAAAAGAATACTGAAATGCCGAGGATCCAGATCGGTGTGCGGTTGGTTCCTTTTAAAAAGCATATTAACTAATTGACGTCTGTGTTTATCTATAAGCAACCGCTCGACCCACAAATATTTGACGGACTGACATTTTGGACACAAAGCCTCAAACGAAAGCAAATGGAGAACAACAACAAAAAATATATATGTATAAAGGGAAACAAATGTTTCAACTCATTGGTGAACCATTCATTGATGTCTGCACTGTTTGGTTTCTGTTTCTTTCCCAGCAACTATAATTATCTTAATTAAAAATCTTAAGTCAAAGTTGGACCAGTCTAAAGTCAAAGTAACTTGGCGGAGCAGAGAGTAGCGATTAGCTCATCTGGTTTTCTGGTGAATTAAGTAATCAGAGTTGTCTAAATGATACACCGAGGAAAATAAAGTGGCAAGAAGGATAAAAACTATAATTTTGTTGATTTTACAAGAAAACACTTGAATTATCCTAGCTTTATCTTATTTTTTCTTTATAAATAATTTAAAATAGAAAATCGCTCTTTCTGCAGAACACATACTTGGGAATTATAAGCGAATTCTGTTATTTTGAGAACTTTTAAGGAATTACCTACCTTACTTCCCATGCTCTTTAATTGATTACAACTATTTTCAATAGATTTCTGTTATTCTCCTAACTTCAGACTTTAGAATTTAAAGAGCGTAGGTTTTGTAAAATGAATATTATTGTATTAATTCTCTAGAAATAGTAAAATATTATATTAAAAACCACAAAAGAATATTAATTTCACTGAACATATCTCCTTTTTCTTTTGATTTTCCCACATTTTTGCTTTTTGTATAGGAAAAAACTTGAACCAAGCTCGACTCTTAGTGAAGATTTTTGTAACCCTAGCTCTTCTCGAAAATGCCCCCTCAAGCCCCTTCATTACTTGCACATTGCTCTGTCGAAATTTAAATATGCGAAATAA